TTATTCCAGAAAAAATGACTATCATCAAGAAATCAAATTAGAAATGCTGATGAGGCCTCATGGAAAATAAAGAATCCTTCTTCACTGTTGCTACAAATATAAACTGGCACAACCACTGTGGAAATAACATGGAGATCCTTCAAAAAGTAAAACTAGAAATCTCATTTGACCCAGTTATTCCTCCTTTAGATATCTTCCCAAAAGAGTTAAAGAAATCCTATTGCTGAAATACATGCATTCTCAATATCGATATAGAACAATTCCTAATAACTAAGTCTTAGAAGTAGCCCATATATCCATCAACAGATGAGTGGATAAAGTATAGCATTTATATACAGTGCAATACTACTCTGCCATAAAGATAAACAAACTTGAATCATTTGTAGGAAAATGTACACATCTTGAAGCCATAATGTTAGGTTAAATTAGACACACACAAGCAAAAAGACAGTTTCTCTTATATGAGAAACCCAAAATATGAATCAATTAAATAACAAAATAACAGAAATAACAGACCAGCCAGATAGCTCAGTGGATGAAAGTGCCTGCTTAGGCAGGCAAAGGGACTGGGGTGCTGTGCTGGCCCCGCCACTGGGGTGCACTGAGATGGTGATTGAGACCGGGCATGGTGGCATACACCTATAATCCTAGCACTTGGGAGGCTGAAAACAGGAGGATCACTGCAAGTCTGATCTGTGTAGTGAGACCCTGTATATCCTGTACTAAAAATGCAATAAATAAATAAATAACAGAAATAGATTAAAGCAAACAAAAACATAGATAAGAACTCATAAGATGGGGCCAGTGAGATATCTCAGCTGTCTAAAGCACACAGGGAATCATAGTTCAAGCTGGGAGGGCTGAACCATCCAAAAATAAAAAAAATAAAAGAAATAAAGGAAGAACTCATAAATGAATCTGATGCTGAAAAAATAAAAGTGGATGAACAGAAGGGGAGAACAAGAGAACTGAAATGTGTTGTATACCAATTTCCTATAGTGAACATACTCACTGTGCACTGCAAACATGTACTAATAAAAGTGAAAGAAAAAAATAATGAAAATGAACAAAATAAAGGAAAAATAGTGGGGACCATAGATGACAGGAAGGAGGAGATTGTGAAAAGAATTAAGGTGTATTATGTACATGTACCAACTCCCATAATGAATGTAATGATTGAATTGTAAAACAAGTACTAATAAAAATAAAAATTTAAGAAAACACAGTTCAATGTCATTCATCAGGATATAATTTTCTACCCGTGTTATCTGGCAACGTTTGGTTACATTTTCTGCTGTGTACAACTAGGAGAGCTACTGGCATCTTATAGACTGCAGCTAGAAATGCAGCTATTGATGCACAGGTTACCCCTTACAACAAAGAACTGTAAAATTAAGATGTGAGCAGTGCCAAGCTTTCAAAACTCTGAAACAGTTGAATAAAGGGATTAGTAGGGAGTGTTAATTATCAATAAAGTGTCACAGAAATGAAAGTCATTTAGGAGCTTATGTAGCAGGGTATGCTTCCAAAACTAAGAGTAACTTATATACATAATAGCTAAGGTAATTGTACTTTCCTTTCTGTTAGTTTATTGAAAACAACAGTTTGTATTTGTATTGTTTGATCAATCTTACATGCCTATATCTGATAATCTGAACAACTACTTTGAAGACAACACTGTGCAATATAATAACCATAATTAATTCCCTATGACCTTGTTGGACTTCTGCATCATTTTTCTTATTTGTTACCATCTTTAAAATAAAAAAGAAGAATGTGTTAGTAACTGTGATACCTGGTAGAGTTGGTAGCACAAACAAGATGCAACCACTGTCATAGACATCCACAGAAACAACACAGAGGGGAATATACCTTGGTTCCCCCTCCTCCTGTGTTGCAATCTTCCAATCAGTGCCTCCCAATACTGTCCAAAATAAATAGGAAGTGAATCGACAACAGAGCCTTGGAAATGCAATACTAACAGGTAATCCTCTGACAATATGGTATAGAGCAAGAAAAGAATGAAGAGATATCTAAGTAAATAGGAAAACCAACAGTAAGATAATGGGATCTTCAGAGTAATGCATAGCTACATTTGAATCCTAGTTACATCATTGATTACTAGTTTTGAGACTTGAGAAACCAGCTGACCTCTTCTAAGTCCAATATGATTTACGTATAAAGTAGAATTATCAAAACCTGCATCATGGGATTGATATGAGAGCTGAATGCTACAACACAAAGAACATAGCAAATCACTGACATATGCGTTTTCAATTACTCAATACTCTTCACCCTAAGAATTTTTTTCGTCTTTTTTTAGACAAGGGTCTACAGGGTGTTCAGGGTCTCACTACTAGATCGGACTCGTAGTAATCTGCCTGTTTACAGGTGCCCAAGAGCTGAGACTACAGACGCACCACATCCAGACTCAATTACTGTCTCAGCGCTCCCCGGGGGCAGGGCCAGCACAGCAGGCCTGGGGATCCAACACCCTGTCCCTGAGCCTGCTTGCAGGCACTTTAATCCTGAGCTGTTTAGCTGGCCCATACCCTAAGAATGTATTAAAGAAAAATATTGTTATGATCAGGCTCCTTTGTGCCAGACACAAAGCAGGTACTCAAAAGAACTTGGATTTCTTCTGCACTAACAAATATGTTTTGATTATCTGAGTCTCACTTCCATGCCATCGTTTTGATCTTCTCATTTCTCAGTGATACTTGTCTTAATATACAGCACACTCCATTCTCCAGCAGTGTGGCTTCCAAGGGAGAAGTAAGCTAAATATGTGTGGTTCCTTAAATTCACACGAATTCAAATGTGTTTGCTTTCAAAAGTGAAATAATTGAAATTGCTGCTTCAAGGAGATAATGTATTGTTTCTTTCCAAAAATCATTGAAGTATGGATTTTTCTGAGGTTTTTTTTTGAGTAGCTGTTTTCAGTAAATAATGATTACATTTCATATGGAAAATAGGTACATGTCTGTAACACATCATAATTCTCTTTTTATCCCCTCCCCCTCTCCCTCCCTCCATCTCTTGCTCCTTTTCTCATCTGAGAAACATCTAGCTCCCTAGTTCCTCTTATCTATATTGATCTTCATTTGAATTTTGGATTGTTAATGTAAGAGAACAACGTGATACTGAAGCTTGTACATCGGATCTATTTCACTTAACATAATGGTTTCAAGGTGCATTGATTTTCCTACAAATAACTACTGTTTGTCCTTCTTTATGGAACACTAGCTCTTCGTTGTGCATAAATGCCACATTTTCTTCATATGTGAATGTTTGTAAGACAAAGAAATGATAATTGTTGAAGAGATAGATATATTTACCTTGATTTGGACATTAAACACCACCCATATATAACAAAATACAAGTTAAAAAAAATCAATTGATACTTCCTCAATATGTACAAATTTATATGTCAGTATAAATTTGTTTTTTAAAAAAATAAAATTTTTAAAAAGAGAGGTCATGACAACATATGTTCACTTAAATGGACTACATGGCTATAAATGCCACTCCCAGCTCCTGAGATTCACAGCTGGTAGAAATTTCAAATACACAGGCACTGAAATTTCATAATCTGAAATACCCTAAGCTTCCTTCTTCATATTCAGAATATATCCTTGCATACTGCCTTGTTGGCAGTAGGCAGTAACAGGTGAAATTTCCAGGCTCCTCCTAATTAACAAACTCACTAACATAGAAAATATTTCATATTAATAAACTGTCCCATTTCTTTCATATTCATCCTTTAATTGCTCTAAATTGGTACATAAAGAGCAATATCAAAATGTGGTCTTCTTATGTAAACCTATGGACTAGAAGATTTGGACTAGTGTTTCTATAAATATTTGTTCATCAGTCATACTAAACTTTAAGACCCAACATTATAAACATTCCTCTACTCCACATTCTTGCAGCTCTTCTATTTATTTTCTGTACCATACCACCCTCTAATTACTGCAAATATTTCTGATTCTTCCCATATCTACTCCCAACCATCTGCAAAAGTGTGTTTTATTTATCCTTAGAGTGTGTGGTGCCTAGAATGACCATAGGCTATAGAAGTCACATCAACATATAGTAAATGAAAAACCAAGAATAAATGCAACTACTTGTTCATTAAAATGAAGATTCAATGAGTTGAGACAGTGTATTGAAAGCCCATCACAGAGCCAAAACTCAAAATTTTTGCTTCCTCCAATCTTTGCAATGAGTTTTATTAGATAACTTAAAATGTAAGAAAATCTTTTAATCATACCAAGGTGCCAATATTCCTAGATTCAAAAAGAAATATATTCTTCTTAGTTAATTTTAATTTAAATAACTATAGCAAATGACTTCTTTTCAAGGGATTCTCCATAAACACACCAGACACAGTAATTGTTCTGGTTGGAAGCAAGATGAACTGCAAAGTCAACTTTATGTTTAGGTTTGTATTAATATATTTATAAATATAGGATCATGTAATGCAGCAACCACTGTTGAATTCATATTGCTTTGTTTGGTGAAACCTTGTATCATTTCTATTGCTTTTTTTCTATCACTATTTTGTATTCTTTAAACCGGGGAGATAGCTCAATAGAATAAGTGCCTGCCTAGCAAGTGCACGGTCCTGAGTTCAATCACCATTACCACCAAAAAATAAATAAATAAAATAAAAAATAAAAATGTATAAATATGAATAATCTTTTCACCAATAACTCATCCATCAGCTTCCTAAGTAGAAGGTAAAATATTCTAGCTCTTCAGGATGAAACCAGAGGTGCAACTACTGGACAGAGGAAAATTGACTATGTTCAAGTTCGTAGGTCAAGGTAAAAATAGGAGAGATTTAGGGGAATGTATTTTTACTTTTTTTTTTTTTTGGTAGTACCAGGGATCAAATTCAGTACCTCGTGTTTGCCAGGCAAATACCTATATCACTGAGTTATCTCCCCAGCCCTAGGGAAATGCATTTTTAAAAAGATTGAAAATTATTTCCTTACCCCACGGTACTGGCTTTCATTGAAAATCTGAGGTGGCAAGGGATACCCTGTGGCTGGTCGACTGTTTTCAGGTACATTTTCTCTCATCCACTTCCGATTCTCTTCATTGGCTGCAATATCTTTTTCTTCAAATCCTATTTTGTTGGCTTCTAAGAAACCAAGCACATCTTGCTGTTTCTTCTTAATCTGAGAAGGACCCAAAGAACAAGAAATCATATTGCTGAGCAAATACCTTCTTGTATTTTTTATTTCTCAAACTGAACAAAAGTCAGTGTTTGTGAGCTAGCATAAATGAATGGGTAGGGCTGGGGAGCTAGTTTGACAGTGTAAGTGTCTGCCTAGAAAGTGCAAGTACCTGGGTTCAATCCCCAGTACCACATGCCGTGCTGCCCCCTGCACTGAACCAGCTGCCAAAGCCGGACGTGGTGGCAAATGCCTGTAATCTCAGTGCCGGGGAGGCTGAGACAAGAGGATCACTGTGAGTTGAAGCTGCATAGCAAGACCCTGTACCAAATAAATAAATGAATAGACAATTTTTTTTAATTCAAAAAAAGTGAGGCTGGGGAGATGGCTCAGTAGAATAAGCACTTCCCTGGCAAGTGCAAGGACCTGAGCTCAATCCCCGGTTCCGCAAAAAAAAAAAAAAAAAAAAAGAATAAAATTCAAAAAAGGAAATGAACAGGTAAAAATTTATGGTTCCAAAACAGATATGATTTCTTTATTGTCTTAATGATGTTTCACAGTGGGTTGAAGAACAGCCTGTAAGTCCTTTCTATCATTTTTTACTGAAAACACCCATGTCTAGTAATGGTGAAGCAAGATCAGCTGATGCATACAATAACAAAAAGAAATGTACTAAATCAAAAGCATATGAAGAAGTTATGATGATTTATTAGCCTCAGTTTCAGCCCTTGTTCAAAGTCTTTCTAAATAGCTTACCATCTTAACAAGCAGCTTATAGTCGTCAGAAAAGAATTTGTGCTTCAAAACAGCACAAAACTCAAAAGCTATTCAAGACTCAGTTTTCACTGTTGAGAACAGAAACTGAATGAGGAGGCAAAGATTGCCTGCGTACTCAACTTGGAACACATCTGCACCACTCATTAGTCCTTAATAAGTGATGTTAAAATAAGTTATAATGTGCATGCACTATGTTTCTTCCTAGATTACTATTATTTGAGGGAGATAGCTTTGAAAATATTAAAGTTGATATGATTTTTCTTTTCATATGTATGTGTTTGAAAAGCTGAGTTCCCACATCTATATGTAGTAATTTGCCCATATTTAAACTATTATTTCATATTTCTGAGCTGGAAAGAGCAATCAGCAAGCAAGTGTATTCATGAAGTTATAGTAAAAGGACATACTAGACAGTAGTATCAAAACATAAATAAAGAAGCAGGCCTACCAATGTGAATCAAAATTCAAAAGTTGAAAATCACAGTCAAGACCCATATAGAAGGGCCGGGGAGATGGCTCAGCAGAATGAGCACTTCCCTGGCAAGTGCAAGAGCCTGAGTTCAATCCCTGGTTCCGCAAAAAAAAAAAAAAAAAAAAAAAGACAAAAAAAGACCCTTATAGATTTACACTTCCAATCCTCCAATACACACATGTACACACATGTACTGTTATAGTTTGTATGTAGATGTTCTCCCCAAGCCTCACGCAGTCACTGGTAGGGATTTTCGGAGGTGGCTAGATTTAAGGTATGTGATACTGGGATTAAGTGTGTGATACTGTAATTAAGGGTGTGTACCACCCAAACATCAAGTACTATAAGGAATAGCCTGCTGTTTTGCTCCTTTCTGACTGCCTGCTTTTCTATAGAATGACTGTTTCTCCTTTGCAATGCCCCTCTGCTGTGCCACCCTGTGAGAGATCCAGCCAACTACGGACTGAAACCTCTACAAACTGTAAGCCAAAATAAACCTTTCCTCCTTTAGTTTTGAGCATTGGGCATTGGATATTTTGTCTCTGCAATAAAAAAGTAACTAAGACATATACAGAGGTTGTATTGTTTCCAAGTTGTTTATATCTGTGGGTAAAAATTCTCATACTCATCACATAATCCCAAGAAAACAGTCTCAATTTCTTCCAACACAAAGGAATTTCTAAGAGCTATTTAGGTCAGAGAACTGAATGTCCTTTAAACATTAGTTATAATCAAGCATAACTGGCTACAGGACAATTTTTGAAAGGGAATACTATTTCCTCATTACCATATAACATTAAACTTTATTCCCCAAATGTAAGATATTTTCTTCAGAACTCTGAAGAAAGTAAATATAAAACTCAATGCATAGGAGTTTCTAATGCAATTGCTAAAAGATCTTATTAAATCAGTGATTTTAAACCTTTATAACAGAGTTAGGTCAATGTGAAGTGTGGCAAGTAATTTGTTAAGCATTAACACATTTAGAAATCTGAGTAGGTATACAGATACTCCATTAACATGGAACTTTTGGGAACTCAGTATTCCAACAGATTTTTTTAAGTGAATGAGGAGTTAGCAAGTTTAATATGCCCAAAAATTGCACATGATCTTGGGAGAATATCATCTGTTACATATGTGTGAACAAAGGGCAGAAAACCTTTGTAAGAAAAGGCATGTTGCAGTCCTTTCCACATTATTGAATGCAAGGTTTGTTACGTTGAGCTAAAATGCCCTGGACTGGTATCACTGGGCATGATAGTGTAGTTTTACTGATAACCTTTACCCTCCAGCCTTTAGATCTGGAACCCAAGTATTTTTCCCATGCTCTGAGATCTGCCTGAGAAGCACATGCTTCCCAGAGTTCTCTACATCTGTATAAGACTATTGGTTATAATACTATTTTTCTAACATGTTCTGTTAGGTCAATCACAGTATCTGTTACATCAATCAGAGATATTGCTCAGCTTTGGATATTCAGGAAATATTAAAAAAGTGATTTTTAGTTTAACCATATTTGTAAGCCCCAAACTTAGTGTATTAACTTTATCTCAAAGACACAACATTTTATATATAGTTATTGCTCGACTTATATGTCTTCAGACAAATATTCTCTATAATGCACACTGACAAGAGACATCTGATATTAATTGCTCATTTTCCCTTCTGGAACTTAATGAGAAACAACACAATGAACAGATGTAACTGAAAACATTAAAAAATAAATAAGAAATACATATCATAATTCCTTGTTCACTAAGGAATACAATTTTAAATTCCTACAGAAACGAAGTTGAAAATTACTGGTAACTTTTTTGGAACACAAATTAATTTGCATGCCAACAATGCCAGTGTATGGGACTCTAACTCAGTTATTTTTAAAGAGCAGACCACACCCACTATCCTTTTTTGGGGGGCCAGCTCAGCCCATCCTGAGGGTGGGTTGACAAGGAATGTTGTGCCCAGGATTGAACTGTGGTCCCCTGTGCCTGGCTAAGCTTGTGTAAGCAGGTGTTTTAGGCCAATGAGCTATCTCCCTGGCCCCACACCCCCTATGTTGAACCAAAGAATAACAAATCATTTCTGCACTCACATCAAAAGTTTGAGACTCAAGGTATTCTTTGCACCAAAGATAGAAAGTACACATACTGAACAAATGTTGCCTGGAATGAAAGCTTGTGTGTCATGGCAAAAGTCGAGTCTGCTTTTTTATAAAGGAGATTAACATTATTCCTGCTTCAAAAGGTGCTAACATGAATATTCCAAAATTAAAGGGAGAACAAAACCTGACTAATGATACTTCAAATGGAAAAACACAAGATCATCGTGAAATAAAAGTGTCAATCTATGCAATTAATCAAGGAGAGGGTTTTGTTTTATTTCATAGTCAACTTTTGTCACATTTTTTTACTGACATGCTAATGAACACTAATAGAAGTTATGACTACAAGGTGCTAAAATCTAAAAGACAATCTGAAATTATTTTTAGCATTATTTAGCAGTATTTCTGGGGAGCGTTTTTATTAGCGGCGAGCTCACAAGCCTTTGGTGGAGTGTGGGAAGGACCATGTGTGGGTGCTGAATTCTGCAATGTTTGAAGGTCAGATGGGAGGAGGGATCCCATACAGGCACACAACCTGATGATATTTGGGAGAGCTGTGCAAGGGTACCTACTCTGGCACAGCTCAGATCTTTTCTCCATTCCTGAATCACACTGGGCACAGCCCCTGCATATACCTGAGGTTCTCACTGCCCTCAAGACTCCTCAATACCTGGTTTGAGTTTTCTAGGCAGGAGCATGCCCTTTATTTCTCTCTGTCCCTAAAGCTCACTAGTCTTAATTCAGTCACTGCCCTCTGAGTGATTTCTCTGACTTACACTTTCCTTTCCTTACAGCTCTGATCTGAGGAGGCTCTCTCTTTTATATATCTTCCTGATTGGACTCTGTCTTCTAGTGGGAAGAGGGTTAGAACAAGTACACACTGGGAGGTGCCTACTAGACTCAGTGGCAATCGCGGCTTGGCAGCTGCTGGTACACTTATCTTCTTCCCTCAAAGGGTTAGAGCTTTTCCCAAAATGGAAAGTTCACCAGGCCCAGACTGCAGGCAATGCTAGGATTAAGAGGTGACTCTGGCTCTTTTTTTAAACACCTCTGATACTGGAAGTAGTCTGTTGAGCTACACCTTTGAATTGCCTTACTGTGTTTGGGTTTTGTTTATCTCCACCCTGCTCCGTATCCTAGCACCTGCAGCTCTTGGTGAGCATCTTCCAAGTGTCTCCTGAGTCCTGCTGTCTCTAGACCAAAATGAGTGTTCTCTCTTTCATGCACATTTTCAAATGAGTACTTAAACCGCCAACTTCCTATTGCTAAACTTAAGGGCACACACAACCATAGGAAAAAGCACTTGTCTGAATATCAAATGCCTTAGACAGAACATGGAGCAGGCATTTTCCATCAATTGTTAGTATGCTAAATTTTAAGTCCATCTAGAATGTGAAAAAAAATAAAAAATAAAAAAATACAAATAAACATTTAAAAATTTTTACACCAAAATTTAGAAATCTAACCATTAGCAGGACATTTTTTTCTGTTTGTTGTTCTCATTTATTGCCCTTTTTTTAAACAAACATTTACTTGAGAGAGTATAGCAGTAATTGAAATATATATTATATATATATATATATATATGTACATACAAAATAGCATAGATATACAGCTACTTTCTCTTAGTTCAATAAGAAAGTTTTGAACTAA